TTTTTCATTGTGGCATCCTAGGGTTGTTGAGTCGTGAGTTCGGGGTTGCGAGCGTGAATAAGATGGTCAACCTATGAGAATCGGTTGCTCGTTATCGTGAACATAGTGAAGAATTACTAACGTGGCATGCACGGTGCATAGGACAGTTCGTCGCTGTACGCTAGGGTGGCACATCTACCTCGACTGCTGTCTGAGAAATACGCTGGTCGATGAAAACTTGCTGTAATCTCGGCCAATTTGGGTCGTACTGGCCTTCCGCGAGAGGAGACTGGCTGAGAAATCAGAATATTCTGTAATCTCTCAGAGAGGTGTTCGGATCATGACAGATTGAGCTAATGAAATTTTCCTACGATGCGTTTCGAGGGTGAAGGTCGTGACCGGAGACGTGACCTCACTCTGTTGTAAGCCCCCCCCCTTGTGAGTGGAGTAGAAGGAGCATTGATGGAATTTGTTCTTTCATTCGGTGGATTTGAAAATGAAAAGATGTACTTGGCATTGGTACGAGGGAATGGGAAGATAGTCGTTAGAACTTAGAAGGCCTCAGTTTAATAGCAAAGAGTTCTGATGATGGTATAAACGAGTGGCGATAGATCTCGAGCTTCGGGATCTAAGGAGCTCAGCGATACTTCGTGCCATCTGTGAGGTGTATATGATACTAAAGGGTCGATCACCGTTCCGAAACGGTGGTATATACACTTGTCGAAGAACGGACACAAAACTACCCACTATGAACGCAACACAAGTGTCGACGATTCGACTTGCTAGGATAATGTACAGTTAATGGTCACAGAGGCCCGGACGATGGATTGTCAATACACAGAACGGACCCGCATACAAATCAATTTTATCAACTTCAGACGTAGACGGAACTCGTGGAGGTTGGCGGCATTGAGCCCTCCTATTCTGATAGTCCGACATCCAGCTTGGCAAATGCGCCAGTTCAACGACTTCAGGTTCCACTGTCGAACGCAGCGGCGGAAGAGTTCGACGTCGATGCCGAGTGTTGCGCAACTCGATCTTCCGGAGAGCGTTAGAGTCGACTGAATAGGTCGGCGTCCACCCCCGACCGACAATCACCCCACTGACGGGCTTATTGCTGGCCTTGGCTCTCGTCACGGTCTGACAAGCATACCATCGCGATCATCGACGCAATGAAAACAGCTCACCTTCGTAGTATTAGATACAGCGACTTCTTCCTTGGCTTCAACTTGTGATGAACTAGCCTCCTTCTTGGAGCCCTTGCTTGATTTCCTGCCACCCCCTCTCGCCTTCGAGACGGGCTTTTCCTCTACCACAGAAGATGCGGCCTTCTCGGATGCCACTGACCGCTGGTTCTTCTCAGCTTCATGTTGCTTACGCGAGGAGGTCTGTGACATACACACGCTGAATGCCTTTGAAACCTCTCGTCTGTGGCAGCTCACCTTCCGAACAGGCTCCTCGAATTGTGGAAGCTCTGGCATCACCCGATTACTTTGGTATTCTTTCAAGAGCTCCTCTTGCTCGCTCGAGTCGAGAGAGGTATTGAAAGCTGCCATAAGCGCCTCATAGTTAGCGTCCCTGTTTGAACGGTAACAAAATGACTCCCACACTCGATGGATCCTCACCATGCAGCAATATACGACTTCTGTACGTCAACACCCATACCGTACGCATCCGAACCAACCCTGATAGAGTCCATATAGCGTCCTACTGCAGACCAGTGGAAGATACTTACTTATTGTAGAGTAAA